GGTGGAGAAAGAGAGGGACAAGGAGGTGAGTGACGACGAGGCAGAGGAGGAGAAAGAGAAGGAGGAGAAGGAGAAAGATGAGGAGAAGGATGAGGACAAACCTGAGATTGAGGATGTTGGATCAGATGAAGAACATGACCATGACAAGTCGGACAAAAAGAAGAAGAAGAAGAAGATCAAGGAAAAGTACATTGACCAGGAAGAATTGAACAAGACCAAACCCCTGTGGACCCGAAACCCAGATGACATCACGAATGAGGAATATGGAGAGTTCTACAAGAGTCTCACCAATGACTGGGAGGACCACTTGGCTGTTAAGGTTGGGCTTTTGAGATGTTATTTTAAAAATACCTAAAAATGTAGCAGTACTTTATAGGAGGAGAATTATGTCTGATATAATGTAGTCCAATATATAATCACTTTAATTTTTTATTTTTATTTTTTTGCCTAACAGCACTTCTCAGTAGAGGGTCAGCTTGAATTCCGTGCCCTGCTCTTCGTGCCTCGGCGTGCTCCTTTCGACCTCTTTGAGAACAAGAAGAAGAAGAACAACATCAAGCTGTACGTGCGCAGAGTCTTCATCATGGACAACTGCGAGGAGCTCATCCCAGAGTATCTCAGTGAGTATTAAAGTGTGGATTACAATTTCCCTAACAATAATAGAATTATCATAATTAAAATGACACAATGGAATCTTTAGAGTTTTAACAGTTTCCTTTCTGCTTCCTATCAGATTTCATCAAGGGTGTGGTGGACTCTGAGGACCTGCCACTGAACATCTCCAGAGAGATGCTGCAGCAGAGCAAGATCCTGAAGGTCATCCGCAAGAACCTGGTCAAGAAGTGCCTGGAGCTTTTCACAGAACTGGCTGAGGACAAGGACAACTACAAGAAGTACTACGAGCAGTTCTCCAAGAACATCAAGGTCAGTATCCACAGCCTTGACTGAGTGAGGTGCAAGGTTACCAGATCTTGTCTTTAATTCTTTTGCTTGAATAATTTAGCTCTAGCAGTATGAATATTATAAAGTAGCTTAACAACAATTGAATGCAGCCAGTGGTAGCGCCTGCAATTTTTTTTTTTTGCACATTCAGCTGAATAAATCTGCACTGTTGATAACAGTTGACTGTTTTCCTTATTACAGCTTGGCATCCACGAGGACTCCCAGAACAGGAAGAAGCTTTCTGAGCTTCTGCGGTACTACACATCAGCCTCTGGAGATGAGATGGTGTCCCTGAAGGACTATGTCACACGTATGAAGGACAACCAGAAACACATCTACTACATCACTGGTGAGGACACTTTTAAAACTGCCAATCAAAAGCATGCGTTCGGCAAACAAAACTTGTCTCATGTGGGCAATATGGCATGAATGAACAACATTATCATGCCTGCATTTCAGGTGAGACCAAAGACCAGGTTGCCAACTCTGCCTTTGTGGAGCGTCTTCGCAAAGCTGGCCTGGAGGTCATCTACATGATTGAGCCCATCGACGAGTACTGTGTCCAGCAGCTGAAGGAGTTTGAGGGCAAGAACTTGGTTTCAGTAACCAAGGAAGGCCTGGAGCTGCCTGAGGATGAGGAGGAGAAGAAGAAGCAGGAGGAGAAGAAATCTCAGTTTGAGAACCTATGCAAAATCATGAAGGATATCTTGGAGAAGAAGGTTGAAAAGGTAAGCTGATGAAACCAAATGACAATATAACAACGGAATTTGTTTTCTTGTTCAACTGATTGATACCGGTGGCTTTTGTTTTCCTCTGCAGGTCACAGTCTCCAACCGCCTAGTTTCTTCCCCTTGCTGCATTGTCACCAGCACATATGGATGGACGGCCAACATGGAGAGGATCATGAAGGCTCAGGCGCTGAGGGATAACTCCACCATGGGATACATGGCAGCAAAGAAGCACCTTGAGATCAATCCTGACCACCCAATCATGGAGACCTTGAGGCAGAAGGCAGAGGCCGATAAGAATGACAAGTCTGTGAAAGATCTGGTCATCCTTCTTTTCGAGACCGCCCTGCTCTCCTCAGGATTCACACTGGATGACCCACAGACCCACTCCAACCGCATCTACAGAATGATCAAACTAGGTCTTGGTGAGTATCTGTTAAATCTTGTATCTTTTGGTGGTATGTTTGCCAGTAAACGAGTTAACCCTGCTTTGCTGACTGATCTGCTCCTATTTTCCTTCCAGGTATTGATGAAGATGATGTGACATCTGACGATAACACCTCTGCACCCACTGAGGACATGCCCCCTCTTGAAGGGGAAGATGATGACACATCTAGGATGGAAGAGGTGGACTAATCAGCTTCCATTTCCTGTTTAGATTTAAAAAAAACAAAACAAATGTTATAAAAAAAAAAATTAATGTTAAATGTTGTAAATGAGCCTGGAATGTCTGTTCCTAAACACTTTTGATGACCATCGTAACTTTATTTCCACTTGCGTTGACCACATGCAGTCCAGTCATTCCTTTAGATGTTTAGAGTTTTCAGATTGTTATTTTTGTTTTTGTATTGAGTTGTATTGATGCATTTGTTCTTTTTGTATTTGACATTCCAAAGTTTGTTCTTTATTGTAAATATAACAAAACACGATACTGTTATTTGAAACGGTGCAAAAACCATTAATAAAGGTTTACCATGTTAAGCTATTTGGTCATTGTTACTGATGAGTGAACACAAGTCTCGTGTTTTATGTATAGTATGCTGCATTTTTAGATTGGACAGGTGGGTTAACCTGTCCACTCTGTCTATCTGTCTATCTATCTTTCTATCTATCGAGAAAATCAATGAAACTTAGTGTTCACTTGTAGTCGAAGAACTGCTTTAGACTTTGTTCTCAACAAGTAGAAAGCTATGTCAAAAGGGTTTCTTAATTCAGCTCAAATGAAGTACAAACATTATTTTAGAACCTTTTTTTTTTTTCTCACCAGGATTTTTTAAAGACATTCTTTATCCATCATTTGACAGAAATTTATATCTTGATAAATATAAAGTGATGATGTGACATTGTAATTTCCATGTTTGAAGTATACTGTTTTCATTTAAAACCAGTGAAGTCAACACTGTTTATGAATCATAAGCTACCAAACCAATGCTTGCTTAAACATAGAGTGAAAGAAAGAGAAGAACCACCCCTTTTTTTTTTTTCTTTGCTTCATATGAATGAAGCATTGCCCTTGGGCAGATTGTTTGCTCTCCAGTTGCCTTTTTAGTTTCTCCATGGAAAAAGCAAAAAATCTTGTGTAATAAAAAGCAAAATGCTTGAGGGGAAGTCAAGAAATAGCAGATAAGTCTGATAATTATGCCTTTATTGGGAACAAATTGAAAGAAAGACAAACGGGGAAAAGCCAAAAGAACTCGAGGCTTCTTTTTTTGGCTATAATTTGGGAATTTGTTCATTTTTACGTAACCTCACTGAAGTCTTTTCCACAGTACTGATATTTCTTGCCAGATTGAAGCTACAAGGATATAGATGTTTGTGTTGAAAAAGTAAAAGTGGACAGAGAAACTCCTAAAGAGGAAGGAAAGGTTTATATAATACATCATTGCTGTAGTCAGATTAATCCAAAAATAACTTCCTTTTTTTGTCTCCTCTTCTACTTTTCTGCTTATCTATCTTTAAGCTTCTTCTAAGATACAAATGATCAAATTAAGGCTTACCCATTTTGTTATTTGTGGAAAGGCACATGTTTAACTCATAAGTCTGTGAAGGTTCTCAGTCATCCAGGTCATTGTAGTCTAAGGAGCTTGGGAAGAAAAGAGTCTGGACTCTCCACCATTTTACCCTATAACTGAAGAAGCTTCTCGGATGAGTAGTGAAACGTCTTCAAGCAACCTAAAGAAGTCCAGACGCTTTTTTCCCCAAGCTCCTTAGACTTAAACTCATAAGCTTAAACATCGATTTAGATATTTTCATGCATTCCGCACTGCTTTTATCCTATATGTCCAAGTCATTTTACACGTGTGGGTTCCTGTTAACTACCAGTAGATGGCAGTCGTTGTGCATTCAAAGAAGGTTCTACCAAGCTGTTCAAATATTCTAGAAAGCTCCGGCCTAGTAGGGGTCTCAACCAGCTGAAAGAAGAAGGTAGGTGGCGGAGCCTCACCTCTGTCAGTGCGCCCCAGGGCAGCTGTGTAGCTTGCCACACACCATTGTATGAACGACTGAATGTAGTGTAAAGCGCTTTGAGGTCCGTAGGGACTAAATAAAGCGCTATACAAATACGGGCCATTTACCACTGGTTTTACAGGTGCGTGAATATATTTAGCCAAAAATATAACTATAAAGGAAAATTATTTTGACACATAACGAAGATGGTTCAGCCTGGTATAAAATGTTATAATTTGTTTTCACCATCCGAGTCTACCCAAAATTCTGCAGTATATAATACTACTACTTCTACTGCTACTACCACTATAATAATAACAACTTTATTTATATAGGATTTTTTAAACCTAGTTACAAATTGCTTCACAGTTTGGATAAAATCACTTATTAAAGATAATTCTACATATTCAAACACATTAGAAGAACAAGAGCCAAAAACACTGGGAGAAACATTAAGGAAACACAACTATGGAGACGAGTTTTTAGCAGATTCGCTCCTGAAACTATGGTATGTGCCAGGATTGGGATGCTCAAAGATTTTAGACGAAAAAATGAATGAAAAGGAATAAGTAAAATAAAAACTGTACCTGAACATGTATCTGTAATAAAAAAAAAATATATATACACTGCCAACTCATTATGAGGGGGTCATGTGGGAGGCACTGATTGATTTTCCATGGAATGACCATAGGAAGTATGCTGTCGATGGCTGTAATCCAAAGTATCGGGAGCCTGTAATCCTATGTGTTGCTGTCCTGTCACCGGCAGGGTGCGCTCTCGGTGCCTTTACACTGGCCATCGTTAGCGTGACGCGCCAGAGTCAGCTGACTGAAAACAGCCAATCACAGCGTAAGGGCAGACTGAACCGCCTTGCAGTGTGCTGTCCTGAGAGTTGTCAAGGTTTTGGTTGTGGAGTATCCGTGAGGGGAGCAAGGGCGGTTACGCTTGTACAATGCCGAATAAAACGAAAAAAGATAAGGTGAGTTAGACAAAAGCTAGCAGGCCGTGTCCATAGTGAACAAACTTTGCACGAGTTACATTTCATTGAATTTATTGATAACGTGCCGGGTGTATAATACGACATTTTGCTACCAGCGCACTGTCCCATCACACAAACGTTAGCCAGCCTGCAATCATTACCTGCTAGCCCTATCCTGCCGTCATGTTAGCACTTGGCACGTTGTGCAGTGTTATGTAAATAGAGTACCCTTATCTTAAAGTGATACTTACATTGCACGTGTGTGTTATTTTGGTGTAAATTTAAGGACTTTTAGAAGCTGAAACCTCGGGTCGTGTAACGTGAGCTAGCTAACAACAGACTTTACAGTGTGGTTAAACAGGAGTGCGAGACTGGGTGGGCAGGCGTGCTATATTTAGCTTGGATTTGTGCAAGGCGGCATTCACCAATTGCATTCACCGGATGTTGTCAACCAATATAAACTTCATTTAATTAAATCAAGTTTATAATCTTTTGATTGAAAATGTTTTTGCAGGAGTCTCCCAAGTCTGGCAAAGTGGGGAAGAGTGGAGGACAGGAGAATTCAGAACATGAGGTATGCTGACAAGGAAAACCACTCTAAGAACACATAACTTTATTTTTATTTAAAATGTATTTAACCCTCAAATTGGGACTTTTGAGATGTCAGATCTCGTTTGTGATAGTCCCCTGCCCAAGAGAACAACTCAAATAGAATGAGCATATACATTACCAAAGACTCTAAACACAGAGCGATATATAACATTAGATTAGATAGAGGAAATAGAAACTTGTAAATGATATATTAAAAGCTAAACAAGCAGTTAAAAAAAACCAACACACCCTAGACTCATCACAGATCAAACAGAGACCGCAAGGGTTGGGATAACCTTTTCAACTTGATGTAATTACCTCCAAGTCATTTAAAATTAAATGGAATTTAGTGACACCAGCTTTGCAAGAGGAGTATTACATTATAATTGGATTATTACTGCATGATAGTGGTCTCCAGTATTAGTGATTGTGGTTGCAATACAAATGAACGTACATGCTGAACTTATTTTTTCAATTTAAAAAAAATGAAGAGGGACACGATAAAGCTTAAGTTTTATTGTGTATATCTAGTTTATTGTCTTGTTATCAATTCAGTGTTTTGCAGATTACAATTTATAATGTTGCTCCTGAAGTGCCAATTCAGAATACTTAAATGCATCACAAAGGCCTCCACAAACCAGGATGCCTATGTTATATACTTGTGCAGAAATTGTATATTTTTCACTTGACAGCAAGTACTCATGCAAAAGGACAGGAAGCCTCCTGTGGAGTGGAACAAGAAAAGCTTATTCTGTTTTAGGTCTCATGATTCTTTGAACTCATCAGGGGAAAATTCTTCTTTGTGACCAAATTTGCTGTAGCGAGCTAACTAATGATGGATGTGAGTCACATGAACACCATAGTGAAATATGGGAGTATGGACTACTTGTGTTGGCCATCTCAATTTGAAAATCTCAGTCCATCACAACTGTGGACTTACTGTAATATTGGAAAAACATGAACTTTCTGTCATTTAATTGTTTATCTCTTACTTAATGGCTTTGTAGGAGTATGAATGGGAGTAGGGAGTGATTAATCAATAGGAATCTATGAACTCCTTCATATTTTCTAAAGCTGTCTGGCGTGCAGGATTGGAGTCTTTGCCATGCTCATTCTGGTCTGCTGGCCTTACATTTGACCTCCCTGTACTAATAAAACTAGTAAAATGGGATGATGATAATGACTGAACTTTAAAATCATAATCTCATAGCCGCATAGCCTTGGATCTTTAGTGGACCGGTGAGTGACTTCATGTGACTCGAGCTGCTCTCTTTTTGATGTTGATACCCTGTTGCTAAATGTGTCGTTAACACCAGCTTAGGGCATGTCTGAGTTCATCAATATTTCACCCATAATTACATGGTTGACCTGTCATACAGCGGCTTTAAGCAGAGAGCTTTACTTCAAAACACAAATTTTATTCAACATTCATGAAACTGCTGCCTTGTGATTTTTCTTAAGTAGGATAGCTATTGCTATTCATAAACCACTTGCTGCTAATGCATTGATCTATGATTTTCAGTAATAAAATTCCTTTGAGGAGTGATGTGTTGTGACTTGCTATAAAACCTTTTTGCTTACATCTGGATTAGGACGCATCTGGGGAAATTTATCTTTGGCCCTCATAACAAAATTGTTCAACATTGAGTTTGTCCATCTGCATTACTGGCATCTCATGTGAATCATTGCTTTGTTGTGCTGCACAGTCATACACTGCTTGTAAAAAATAAAATAAAATATGAGGAAATTCTGTGGCACCAGGAAGATAGCATAGTTTAAACAATGTTTAATGTTTCCCTATATGTGCAAAAGTTCACTTCAAGCTCAGTGTGAGAGTCATTACTTTGTTCAGTTGTCATTTATGATCTGACTACATTTTCTTTTCTGCTGTTTTATTGTGTGTTTGTGGGGAGGAGCTACCCACACTGAGCAGAGAAAAGGAAGATAAGGAAGATCTGACTTCCTTCATTCCTCAAACAACTAGAGGCGCTTTAATTTTTTTTAAAGGAAGGCAAGCATTTGAATGCAGTTATGTCGCGTGTGGAATGAGAGCTGGCAGCTGTTTGTGCTGCCTAGAAAGCAAAAGGTAGTCCTGCTCTTGCACAGATTACAATGTTCTCAACCAGGCTGTATTCCGGTGTCACCACAGATGGACTGAGTTTAGGTGGCAAGGTCTTTTGAAGTCTGCCCAAGTACACTTGACTCATTTTAACATTTACATATTTTTCTTTTCATCCTTTCAAGAGACCCCCCCCGTGTCCAATTTGCATATAAACCACAAAGGCACACATACACACAGATTATAGTCATGGCACAAATTTTGTATTGTATACAATATGCAACTTGAGTTTTTACAGTAGTCATTCACACTGGTTCAGAGTTATTGTGCCAAGAGATCAGATTCATTTTTATGAGCTTCTGGACTTAGCCCCGAAGCTGACATCCAGCATGTCACACTGACAACAAAAGCTTATCAAATGCCTATGATTATGTTTTTACCATATTATAAAAACATGAAATGAAAACTTTAGGCCATGACTGTACAAGCTAAATCTGTGGGAAACACACTATTTTATTGCCTTGTGTTATATACACAGTCCAGTTTATTGAGTTATAAAATCCACACTTGTCAGTTAGCAGATAATTTCATTAAGCTTTATATCTATTTCAGAGCTTTATGTAGTTACCAGTTTAATATAATCCCTATTATTTTCCACATTTGCGTTGTACATTTACAATTACAATAAAGGCCTTATCTGTTCTATTTTAAAACCTGTCCTTTAATAACAGCTGGCTAACAATTACATATATTAGTCATCCTTGCCGACCTACTGAAATATATATATATATATATATATATATATATATATATATTTTTTTTTTATTTATTTATTTATTTTTTTTTCCAAGCTGAAAGTTTCAGGCTCTGCCAGCATTAGACTTGCGTGTCAGCAGCCATGTATTAGATCAGCTAGTGCACCAACCTGTGTCAAATTAAAATCGCTGGGCTGCAAGCTGTTGTCACTGCCCCCACCCTTCCTTTTTTCCCATATGCTCTGTCAACCAGAAATGCATAACTGTAAAGGCTGTTATGTAATATATATGTAACTTTCATTTGGCTTTAGGGCTGCCACGATTTGTCGACTAGTCACGATTACGTCGACTATCAAAATCGTCGACGACTGATTTAATAGTCGACGCGTCGTTTGAAACTTTGTACGATCACAAAAGACGCAGGAATAAGTGGCAGGATTTAAGAGTGTAATAACGGACTGAAACAGAAGATGGCAGCATTGCATGTACAAGGATGTCAGCTACCGTTAAACCCCGAAGAAGAAGAATGGTAAATGGTAAATGACCTGCATTTGTATAGCGCTTTTCTAGTCCCTAAGGACCCCAAAGCGCTTTACACTACATTCAGTCATTCACCCATTCACACACACATTCACACACTGGCGATGGCAAGCTACATTGTAGCCACAGCTGCCCTGGGGCGCACTGACAGAGGCGAGGCTGCCGGACACTGGCGCCACCGGGCCCTCTGACCACCACCAGTAGGCAAACACGGGGTTAGTATCTTGCCCAAGGATATTTGGCATGCAGCGAGGAGGCAGCCTGGGATCGAACCACCAACCTTCTGATTAGTGGCTGACCTGCTCTGCCACCTGAGCTACAGCCACCCGAAAGAAGAAGAAGCAGCTGTGTCCCAGAATTCATAGCGCGGCCCAGCGCAGTTTCCAACAATGGCGGCAGCTAGTTAGTTTTAATGTTACTCTTTTTATTCTTTCTGGGTCACAAAATAAACGTTTAACATATTTTCAGGCGAGAATGTAGCTGTGTAAACCTCAAATATCTGCTCAGTTTATCAGGACACCACATATTTTCAAAAGCGCTCCGACGTTTTCGGAGACATCTGTTACCCACTAGCTCGTTAGCGAGCCGGGGGCTAGGCTCACTAGCGCCGTGAGAACACCGGACTCCCCGCAAATTGTTTTCAAACCCACCGCCGTCTTTCGCTACTCAGGTTAAATATATATGAGTCACTTAGATAACTTAAAATGTTATTGTTTGGCTTTTTTTTTTTTTTAGTATTTTATTTGTTCCTGAGTAAATCAGTTTGTCTGAGATTAAAGTTATAGTTTTTACACAGCTGAATAAACGTCAAGCAGACAGCTGATTATCAGAAGTGTGAGATGCTCCAGAATATACTCCAGTGTCCTGTTATATTTTAGATAGCAAGGAGTTTATTAAACTTCACTGAAACAATCTGCAAATTTCATTAAAATTTAATAAACTATCATCTTGTCTTTAATTTTAGTTAGCACAGACCTTAAACACTTAAAGCTGTAAGCTAATGATAGTTATATAAGAGCAGATGCTGCTGGTGCAATAAGCTGTAGTTTTACGTCTAATGGATGATGATCTGATTAGTCGACTAATCGCAAAAATAATCGGTGACTAGTCGACTATCAAAATAATCGTTTGTGGCAGCCCTATTTGGCTTGTTGTCAGCAACCATAACTGACAAATGAAAATTTGAAGCATTAAATGAGAAGAACCATAGATGACAGATGTTTCTACTTTGGCCTAATATACTTACATGAGTTAATTCAGATCTTTCCAGTACATTAATATGTAATCGAGTTCATAGCAGAAGTCAGCACAGCGGCATTTTCCACTTCACACAACAGCTTTCTAGTGGCACAGACTGATTGTCTGTCTTGTAGTGTGGCTCAGACTGTGGCCAACTTTGTCTGGGTCTTAAGCGAATTTGATAAATCTCTTGTGACTCAGACTCCACAGCTGCATCAGGTGAATTAAGCTCTGTGTCATCAGGTCCACACTGATAAATGGATCCTAGTAGGAAGGCTGGATCAGTTGAACTTGCTGCTTTCAGGTGATCCCACATCAGGATGATGCACTATTGTAAAGAGTAATTGTACATTTGGTAAACGGGTTTGTTTTTTTTAATGAGCATTTTGTCAAGTGGATGGCAACTCAGTGTATATAATTAAAAGTACCAGTTGTGCTCCTTGGCTGGTGGCTGCATGCACACATTTTTATTAGATTTCTGCAGAGGTTCATTCGTCCATATTTTATACCTGCATCTTTTTTTTTTAGTGTGTCTTTGCTCTTATGTCCGTGTAACTAATGTGTGTTTTCTCTTGTTTCAGCAGAGCTCTAACAGGAAGGCTAGCAATAGTGTTCCTCCAACAACTCAGCTACTAAAGGGGAAGCAGCCAGGTTCCCAGACACCTGTCAAAAAGGACAAGAGGCAGAGCTCCTCTCGCTTCAGCTTGAGCAACAACAGGGAACTGCAGAAACTTCCTGCTTTTAAAGGTATTCACCTGTGTGACAGTCTGAAATCCATTTTATGTAATCACATAATGAACTACAGAGTGTGCTCGATTTGGTAGAATTTGCATTTGTTATATATTCATAGAGAACGGAGTTGAGGTAATGTTTTCACGCTTCAGGGTTTTGCACAGAATTCAAAAATCAAATCAACCAAATTTGGCAGGTGGAGAAAACTACCTGGTCTGCCTGTGTATGTTTAATATGTAAGAAATGTCTCAAATGCAGATCTAGATAAGTGCACACCTCACAGAAATATGTACTAACAAGCACGTACTCAATTATTTAGTCACTCCTTCCCCACAGAAGTTCCCATGAGCATCCCTTGCTGCATCACCCCCATTTTAATACCAGGCTGAACATGACATTATGCAATATGTGGAAACAAACAGAGGACATGCATGGCATGGATTTTGCTCTGGATTTAACCCAAGCATCTATATTTAGTGATAATCCAGAGATAAAGCTTTAATTCCACGGCCCTTGTGTTTCCGAATGTTGCCAGTGAGCAGATAAGACATGTCTGCCAGCTATTACTATTCCTCCTCCTGTCTTTCCTCGTGAACTTTACAGATGTATATGGATATTTAGTGTCCAAGTTCAGTGCCAGATCCAAGAGCAACGAGCAAACACTGCTGCGACACAATAAATGCATATTGTCAGCATTGTCCTGTGTATACATGGATGACTGCACGCATAATTTCTCAGTACTTTAATTATAGTTACCTAACATAGTGGTATGCTTTACAGACAGTTATATTGACATTGTTGGCTGTTAAATAATCATGTAATTAAACTTCAAAAACAATTTTATAACTGATAGTGGCAATGGCACAACAGGAATTGGTTATACTGTTTCTGTTTCTTTCTAAATGTTCAGACTCAGGAAAAATAAGAATCTCGTAGGAAAAGGGTATTTTAGTGGTCCCCAGATGACTATTCTGTTTAGTAAGTGAAACAAAGTTGGGACATTGGAAATGTGCCCGACACTTTCAGAGTGGGTAGGGAGAATTATCCATCTCCTTTCAAGGACAGATATTTCCTGGATTGTTAGATTATTTACAGTTGATGCAACAGCAGTGTAAAGTTTATGGAACTGATGTAACCCCGAATGGTGGTGAATGCAGTCTCGTTGGGTTACTTGCTCAAAAGTTTCTGTATTTGGTAAAAGATATTGTGGACGTTCTGGCACTGATGCCGTGTGTGCAGAAAAGAGCGCTTTTGTTTTTGTTTTTCGTCATCGGTGGGAGGCTTGTAAGCTCACAGTAGAGCAAAGGCAGCGTTCTTCAAGGAGAATTTACGAATGTTATTTCTGTCTATGGAAACCTTGGCATGTAGAGCAAAGTTGGATTTCCTAAGGTGGCAACATGATAACAGGCCATTTATTGTTCATTGTGTCTTTATGCTCTGCCATAAAAAAATGATTGTCTTTATCTTAGCTAGCCGTTACCTTTGTAACGTGTGAGGAAACCAATAGGCTTAACTTCATTTCTGATACAGCCTGCTCACTTCCCACACCCCAATGAGAGCTTTGATAACATTCTGCAAAACATTATCCCACAGTGGCCAAGTAGATGTTATCACTTAGTCCTGTCCAAACAGGCTCCTCGCTTGGCCTGTTTTCATTCCAGGCATGTTCACCACCTCCTGATGGAAACACATGTCCGTGAGCCTGTCCCGCAGAGCCGCAAAGTTGAGGCGAGACTTAAAAACCCTGACCAGAAGCAGGCCTTTCCCATGAACTTCCAGATTCGTGTGTGCTTTCTTTGACTGTATGGTTCAAATTTTTGCATTTGTTTGGACGATAGTTTGGTTTCTGTTGAAACCCGATGTGGTGAGCTGCCGTTTTTTTTTGTGTGTAGATTTTATAAGACAAAATACACAAATCCAAACTTGTTTTTTTTTGTGTTTGGCATAATGTTCAGCTGGAGATCTGTCTGACTGAGGCAAGTAAACAGGAGATTAATTCCTCTTTCTTTGTCTCATTGCAAGTGTTATATACATGTGCCAAAAAGCACAGAACAACAACAGTTGCTCCCTCTGTATGGGTTCTCTTTTAAAGCAGGAGCTCTCCTTCATGGAGCCTTGGTCTCACAGGGTTTGGTGCCACCTTGTGGCTAGAGTGTCAAATATGAGAGGTGATGTTGAAGGACATGAGTATATCTACTTGTAACCAAAGTTTTAAAACAGATAATACTTTTTAATCTGATTTTTTTTTTTTTTTTTAATTGAGGGTACAGTTAACATAGTGTATGAAATTTGCAGTCCTTACCTTTTTAATGAGACTATGCTTAATGGCAATGCAAAACTTTCCCATGTTCCTTTATAAGTTGAAACTGTTTTAAGGGGCACTTTAATGGATATAACTAACAGTCGGCAGACCGCAGATATGCAAACATTGTACACAATGTAAAAAAGAAAACATAAGGAAAATAAAACACTTAAACAGAAGGACACCAGGAAAAGCCTTACAAAAACAACATAATGAAATCATAATGACCGAGAATGTTTATTAGTCTGTGAACAGTAGTTCGTGCTAACTCTGAGATATGTTTTATTGAGTAAACAGTTGGATGAGAGAGAAATTGTGTAGAGTAAAATGTTACAGATAGTGACGAGGCTAAATGCCTATGTCACGGCAGATTCTGGTGGGTACTAAAATATTATTTTTATTGTCGCAGGTTAAGTTGGGACATTTCTGCTCTTTTATAAACATGTAGCTACTAGTATTCAAAGTAGTTTGGATTTAGTTTATGCGTCACAAATTGTTATGTTTCTCCCGTTGTTGTGTTTCTCCTGTTGAATGAGCGTAGTTCATTGTAAATTATTAATTGTCTGAAATGAATCTTATCAGTGAGAACGGTACACGGGCTTCAGCACTAGTCAAAGACACAATGGACACAAATGACGAAGCACGGAGCAGGGACAGCTGGAGACAGTGGGCTGTCCCAAGTCTAATAAGCTGCAGTGCTTCTGACAGTTCTGACTATTTTTTTTTTTTTGGTGTCACACTGTGTGCCAACAGCTAGTTATGTTTGACTTCTTCAGTGTACAGTCATCTTCATTTTGAGGGATAAACAGTAAAGATGACAGAAGTTATATGGTCAGCAGTTATGTTTTTTTTTTTTTTTAAGCATTTTTTCAGCCTAGCACTAGGGAGACAGGATAATGACAGCAAACGTGAAGATGTTAAAACTAAATAAGTTGTGTGTTTAGTTCTGTTATTGCTACCTGTAATACAGTTGTTTAGTAGGTGTCAATGACTGTTAGCAGAAAACACAGGTCTAAGTCAAACTACTAAAGTGTACGTCAGTCAGTTTTTATTTTTATGAATCGAAATGTTGCTTTTACTGTGGTTGTCTTTTAGTTACATTCTAAAGCTTCCAGGAAGTAATCTTAACGTTAAATCACTATTTGTCATGTCATGTCAGAGAAACGTCTTTAACTTTGAATACATGTGGGAGCAGAAAAAGGCCCCTACAACTCATGACAGAAACTTCCCGGGTCAGACATTTCATATGAATAAAAATACAAAAAAAGTCACTGGCAGTGATCATGGTGTTAAAACTGCTCAAGCTGTGCACTGGTTTTGCACGATTGGACTTTTCAGCATTGCTTCTAGAAGGGTTTTGTAGCTAGAAGTCAGAGAATCAGACACATTGCTATATTTAAGCAGTGAATATTTCATTTATGCATCAGCAACATTCAGAAATGACAGGATCCTACTAAAAAACATGACACTGTATCTGAATTGGTGGTCTTTTGTTTGGAAGAATAGTAAATATTGAAAATGGTATTTAATTAATTCACACACGTTTACTATATCTGCAGGTCTAAAACTTGTTTTTGAACTTTGAAAAACGTTTTAAGCTTTTAAACTGTTGTACATATTATAATAACACATTCCTCAAGTTACCAGGTTTAAGCTGCAACATTAAATGCGATCTCCAAGCGTGTTTATCTTGCAGTCATCAGCCACAGGTGTTTTCCACTTGTGCAACATTTTTAGTGGCACAATGAACAAATCTGGGCTTTGTTTCTTAATATATCTGCTTCTAATGTGACTAATACAGATCAGCATGTATCATCGCTTTGTGATTCATCTTTGCGTTACGAGAAGAAGAAAAAATAGGTTGGATCTTGATAAAGATGTCCCTATCATTGGAAGCTGCCTAAGTTCAGCCACTGTTGAAAGAGCCTGTGTCCTCAGCTGCGTCGATCAGTCTGTTTCTCCAAATAGATCTGAGCCTTAAGCGTTTACAGAGGACCGTGACATTGAAGATCAGCAGACCTGTGAATGAACCACTTCGTTGTGTATTTTAGGCAGTGCTGCTGATATCAATGATACGTTTAGAAAAAGCTCTGAAACCATGCTTGTGTTATAGCAATCTCACAAGTTTCTTCGCATTTAAAAAATAGCACAGACACAGCAGAAAGCTCGAGTTTAGTGAATGCATGTGCCAAAATAGCATTTGTAATGAGTAATCCAGTATTTTCTTCTCATGGTCATGGATGCACTATGCCTAAGGTACAAAATGGCAAGAAAGAGCCCTTTATATGCCCAGATTAGTTCCTGCTGATGAAGTGCTCCATTATCGTATATATTAGGACCAACTAAACTAGATGTTAAGTATTACATCCATTAGGGGTGTAGTTGTTCCCATTTTGTACAGTTGACTTTAGTGTAAGACTTTTTACATCCTCTAACCTGCAGACAAACACGTATACAAGCTCAAGGTTGTGTAGCAGGAGCAACAGTGGCAATACAAGAAGTGTGCAAGAACAAACAGCAGCCGGACTCGAACCACACCACACCTCCTGCACCTCCAGCGGAGAAGTGCAAACCCACAGGGAGGAACCGTGACACCATTATGTGCTTTATGAAATACCACACAAAATGCATTTTGCACAAACATTACATTAGCCTAAAACAGTGTTTGTTTGTTTTTTTGTTTGTTTGTTTGTTTTTTTGAAAGTGTGAAACT